TAGAATATCTATCAAGGACCTTCTGGCTTTCAGAGTTTCCATGGAAAAGTCAGGTGTGATTCTGATAGGTTTGCCTTTATAGGTTACTTGACCTTTTTCCTTTGCTGCGCTTAATATTTTCTCTTTGTTCTGTTTTTGTTGTTGTTGTTGTTGTTGTTGTTGTTGTTGTTGTTGTTGTTGTTGTTGTTGTTGTTGTTGTTGCTGTTTTTGTTGTTGTTGTTGTTGTTGTTGTTGTTGTTTTGATTATTATGTGGCAAAACCTTTTTTGGGGTCAGTCTATTTAGTGTTCTGTAGGCTTCTTGTATTTTCATTGGCATGTCTTTCTTTAGTTGGGAAAGTTTTCTTCTATGATTTTTTTGAATATGTTTTCCTGCACCTTTGAGTTGGATTTCTTCACCTTCTTCTATACCTATTATTCTTAGGTTTGGTCTTTTCACTCTATCCCATATTTCCTGGATATTTTGTGATAGGGATTTGTTGGACTTAAGATTTTCTTTGGTTGATGAATCTACTTCTGCTAGTGTGTCTTCAACTTCTGAGATTCTCTCTTCCATCTCTTGTATTCTGTTGGTTATGCTTACATCTGTAGTTCCTGATCATTTACCCAGCTTTTCTATTTTCAGCATTCCCTCAGATTGTGCTTTCTTTATTGTCTCTATTTCAGTTTTTAGGTCTTGAACTGTTTCCTTGAGAGATTTGTTGATATCTTGTATTTTTTGGTTTGTTTTTTCTTCCATTTCTTTAAGGAATTTTCTCATGCCCTCTTTGAGGTCCTCTATCATTTTTCTGAAGATGCTTTTAAGGTCATTCTCTTCTGGTTCATCTGCATGGTGATGTTCAGGTCTTGCTGGTGTATGATTCCTAGTCTCCGGTGGTGTCATATCGGGTTTTCTGTTGTTAAATGTGCTTTTACCTTGTCCTCTTCTCATCCTTTTTCTGGTGGGTGTAGCAGGAGTTTCTTGCTCTCCTGGTGGGTATGTGACCAAGGTTCTCTTCTGGTAAATGCAAACAGATCCAATACTCTGATGTTTGTCCTCTTCTCTTGGATGGAGGTGTCACTGTTACCTGGGCGTTGGCAGTGTTCAGGCGTGCCCGGTCCCGCTGGGCCTGCAGTTGGAGGCAGAATTGTCATGGGGCCTTGGTGTGTTGGATCCCACAGGCGAACCCAGTCTGGCGGCCAGGTCACTGGTGTCAGATGACTCTGAGCAGTGATGAATGGGAACCAGAAACAGCTCCTGGCCAACCTGGGCCGGCGGGTGGAGGCAGGACTGCCTCTGGGTGTTTGGTGTTTGATCCCACCACCGAACTCGGTCCAGCACGCAGGTTGCTGGTGTCAGATGACTCTTAAATCACACTTCTTAATGTGTCTGAGAGGGCACTGCTGACAAGTATCAAAACAGAAGGTCCAAGAAGGAATGTAGGTATTCTCATCCAAGAAGCTGAGTGCCCAGTGTAACAAAATGGGTAGAAGGGAAAAGCTAGCACAGGCACCCCATCTCTATGTCCTGCCCTCCACTAGATGAGCCTCTGTGCTACACAATGTGCTCCTGTCATGATGTTTAACCTCACCACATACCAGAAGCAGTAGGTTTTGTATTTGTGACTTTGTCTGTCAGTTTCTCGCCTCTTGGGACCTGGTATTAGTCCCCAGGTGTGAGCTGTCCTTTTCTCTATTTAGTATCTGCACGTGCCTCTATGTGCCTCTCTATCAATAAACTATTTTAATACAAAAGCTTTAATTAGCAAATGAACTCTACTCAAGATATCTTTAGAGAGACAGGAATTAGATTATATCGTGTACTCTACAGCATACTTTTAATACTCCTCCATTGTTATTTTCATATCCCCTTATAATATTACCTAGACCTTACTCTAACTTAATACTTCATTTCTGTACTGATGAACAAATGCAATTCCAGCCCAAATCTTGAACTTATACTTTGTAACAAAATGTTTCTAGATGCTAACCATAGTTATCGTGAATTCTCATAACAAAAACATTCAATTATTTGGGCATAGACATCACTCCAAAATACACGGGCCTACCTACAAAAGTAATTACAATGAATGAGATTTTTCTTTATAATTAAATTATATGTGTGTACACATTTATTTATTTATTTATTTATTTATTTATTTTAATTTACACTTTATTGCCTAATCCAAATTACCTACTACTAAAATGAAACTCATTTGTTCTTTCACTCATTGAGGAAATATCAGTGCCACAATGTCAGCCAATGAGATGCTTTAGAGCATAGAAGTACTTGTGCCAAACCTTAATGACCTAAATTCAATTCCCAGGAAAATCAAGATTTGAGGAGAGAAGCAAATCCTTCAACTCTGGTTTCTACAAGTACTTGTACATGTCTGCACATACACACACAATTTTTAAATGTGATTTTTTAAAATTTACATTCTTTCAAAAATAAAAGACAAAAATGATATGTACTCACTCATTTGTGGATTTTAGACATAGAGTAAAGGATTACCAGCCTACAATCCACACTAGCCAGAAAAACTAGTAAACAAGGAGGACCCTAAAAGAGACAAACATTGTCCCCTGGAGAAGGGGAAAGGGTCAGGATCCCCTGAGCAAATTGAGAGCATGGGAAGAAGGGGGAGAGAGCTATGAGAATGAGAAGGGAAGAAGAGGAAGGACGTAGAGGTCATGAGGAAGCAGAAAAGTTGAGTCAGGTGAAGAATAGAAGAAAGGATATGTGATAGGGTTTTAGTTGGGGGGATGGTAGGGGAGGAAGGGAGGGTGAAGGGAACTGGGATTGTCATGTAAATCAATCCTGTTTCTAATTCAAATAAAAAAAGATAAATAAAAAAATAAAAAATAAAAGAATACACTGTTATATACAAAATATACAAAAATAAGCCCTGAAAAATATAGAAAGTATTCTTGTCTTTAAGTACTACTTCCCTGGGTCCTATCTAAATCACCAGACCCAGCCATCCTAACAAATGTACTAGAAAAGGTCCACAATACCCTTGTGGCCCTAAAACATGCTATTCATTTTCCATGGATGATAGAGCCATGTCAATCATGGGGTGTCATGATCACCTCTTTGTTTTTCTCAATACTTTCATATGAGAAAAAAATAAGGTCCAGAAAGCAGCAGTGCTTGGTCCATGTAGCCCTCTGAATTGAGAAGTTTGTCTCATAGAATATATGTATATGACATAAAATAACATGAATTATTTCCATGTGATTTAGAGATTCTGAGTTATACTTAGGAAGAACAACTCAGACTACAGAGTTAACAAACTTTGGGTTTTAATACACAGTCCAGAATGTTCCAGCTGTTTGTAAGTTCATGCAGTCATATACTCTCCTTTTATTTATAAATGAATTTATTTAGAAATGCTAGCACAGTATCTACATAATATTATGGTCTTGTGGAGAAGGGACCATATTAAGATGTTCAAATATGGTTTATGTTCTCAGGGACACTACTGGAAGATTTGTGAACATGGATCCAACCATCTCATCGCACAACACAGAATCTACACCAACAAATGAAACTGAGAATCAAGATTGTAGTCCAATCCTGACCCTGAACTTCCTGGCCCTCATTATTGCCCTGGTTGGACTGGCAGGAAACACCATTGTACTATGGCTCCTGGGATTCCACATGCACAAAAAAGCCATCTCAGTCTACATCTTCAACCTGGCTCTTGCAGACTCCTTCTTCCTTTGCTGTCACTTTATTGACTCGATCCTACGGGTCATTGATTTCTATGGCTTCTATGCCCATACATTAAGCAAATCAGTCTTAGGTAATGCAGCAATCATTCCCTATATCTCAGGCCTGAGCATACTCAGTGCTATTAGCACAGAGCGCTGCCTGTCTGTATTGTGGCCCATATGGTATCACTGCCACCGCCCAGAAAACATGTCAGCTATCATATGTGCCCTAATCTGGGCCCTGTCCTTTCTGATGGGCATCCTTGAATGGTACTTTTCAGGAATCCTGAATGACTTTCATCAGCATTTGTGGAAAAATGTTGATTTTGTTGTAACTGCATTTCTGATCTTACTATTTATGCTTCTCTTCGGGTCCAGTGTGGCCCTACTGGTCAGGATCCTCTGTGGTTCCAGACAGAACCCATTGACCAGGCTGTATGTTACCATGGCACTCACAGTGATCGTCTTCCTCATCTGTGGCCTGCCTCTTGGACTTTACCTGTTCCTGTTATACTGGCTTAAAGTTCCTTTCTGTCATCTTTACAGAATTACTTCTGTCCTGTCCTGTGTGAACAGCTGTGCCAACCCCATTATTTACTTCTTTGTAGGCTCCTTTAGGCAAAATAGGCATCATCGGTCCCTCAAAAGGGTTCTTCAGAGGGCTCTGGAGGACACGCCCGAGGAGGATGAATGTACAGCCAGCAATCTTCAGAAAACCATTGAGATGTCAGAAAGTAGAGAATGGTGAATAGTCCTTCCTTTAGTCAGACAGGTGTTGAGACTCACACCACACAGACTTACTCTTCTCTCAGAAATGCCCCAGAGAGGTCTGTACCAGGTTGGAGAAACCCACAGGAACAGTTGGCCTGAACAAGGGAGAGCACATCGACCCCAGATGCTGTCTGGGAGGCTAGTACAAGACGGATCCAGACCCCTGAACATGGATGTCAATAAGGAGGCCTCTGCACTCCAGGGAGCCTCTGGTGGTGGATTAGTATTTTTTCGCTGGTGCAAGAAGGGACTTGGAGAGCCCATCCCATGTGAAGGGTTACACTCTGGCCCTGGACACATGGGGAAGGGCCCAGGACCAGCACAGGAGGATTTGGTGGACTTTGCAGAGTCCCTGTTGAGGCTCCTGCCCTGCCTGGGGAGTGGTGGGTGGATGGGGTGGAGGATAGTCTGAGGGTGGGGAAGGAGGGATGGGTGGGGGGAGGGAGAGGGAGAAAGGACTTAAATGTGAAACAAGTGTGTTCCCTAATTGGAACAAATAAATAAATAAATAAATAAATAAAAAGAAATGCCCCAGAGATTGAAATGCTTTCAAATGTTTTTTTTTTCTTAAATTCAGTTTTCTTATAGTCCTTAAAGTAGTCAGAAATAAGAATTTCTCCAACTCTCTTGGCTCTGTCAATGAATTTCTCAAGTATCCTCTGTGTATTTCTCATTGAACACCTTTTTTGCTTGCTGTTTTATAAATGGGAAAGTTCTTATTCAAACTATAAATCTGAAAATGAAAACATGAAAGTATATGATTTTTTTCCCTCCTGGCCATTTCCCAGAGAATTTTACTTTCCATGATTCTCCAAGTCCTGGAAATGGCAAGCTTGTTCAAGAAAGCATCCACATCTAAGGATCGCTGACATCTCCAATATAGACATTGAACATCAACATCCCTCAAGACATCCTTTGTCTGTGTAAGAACAAAAGACTTCTTAGAAGAAAATACTTTCTTCTTGTGTTTTGGGCTAATATTAAGGCCTTTGTCCTTGGAATAGTAAACAGAAATTTACTTCTGTTTACATAGTATAAAAATATGATCAATCCATTGATTGCAGGGGGAAAAAACAAAAAAAAAGTAGAATGTGAAAATTGGATGGAAAGATGGAGCAGTGGTCTGGAGTCTATTTTAGAATAAGATATCAAGATTTGACTATGCCATTGACCTGAACTTAAGGCATCATAAGCTAAACAGAACCATGCATTGTGCACTGTAATCACCTTGAGTACATTCTCCTCTCACCACTGGGCTGGCTGGCTGACTAATGTAATGCTCTTTCTATAAAATGCTATGGTTTCTACTAGGCACTGATACTGTCAATATGGCAATGCTGATTATTAAAATGATGAAATTTTGTTACTGTACTTTAGGAGCATAATAGAGACTGTTTGTGTGTATGTGTGTGTATGTGTGTGTGTGTGTATGTTAATGATGACCAACATATTAGCTTCTGAACTGATAACTTCACAATTTACCTTGCTCACTTCTGTGAGCCATATTATTTTTTTCCATTTTTAATTCTATTTATTTTTAATGTATTTTAATTGAAGTATTATTATCAAAGAAACATTAACTTAGAAAAAGATGAAAATGGGAGAGAAGACAATTCATAGTGATATTATTAACAAAACCAAGCACCTTAGAGAATAGTAATCAGTATGTGAGTACCATCACTCATTTCAAGTATTTTGTTGTCATGCAAGGTACCTCTTTTTTTTTTTCTGCAAACTGCATGAGGCTTTATTGTTGTTTAATGAGCTAACACCATGTTAGCTCGGGTCTTTCACCCACCCGCCATGGCGGATGGCTAGCAAAGACAGTTCGAACTGGCTGCATAGAGATCTTGTAGGACAGCATAAGGGGCGTGTCCAGGGGTGTGCACAGGCTCAGGATTGGTGTGCCTCCAGGCTTGGAGGGCTTGCCCTGTGTTGATTGGTCAACTGGTTGTTATGGCCCATAGGCCCTCCCAGGGTGGTTGCTATGCTCTGCGCATCATTGATGTGCGCTTGTCCGTAAAGCACACCCAGAGTCATAAAGCATACCACCACCAGCTAACTTCTGATTGGTTCCTTGCCACAAGGCAGGCACCTAACCTCTAGTAACCAAGGCAAGGTCAGAAAAGCACATGTTACTGTCATGGCTGCCGAAAGGGGCAGGCATCTGACCTTAATGACTAAGACAAGGTCAGACAAATATGTGTTCGACTATTATGGCTGCCGAAATGGGGAACTGGTCCCTTCATTCCCCCATTTTCTTTTTTGGAAATTCCAATCATGGAATTGCTGTCTCTCTAGCGCCCCCAACAAGGAGTGAGAAATATTGGCATCCCCATTCAATGAAGTTCCTTCTGACTTAGCATTTTAACCAGGGAAAATGGGTGGTGAATTCTTTCCCA